CTGGACGCACGTGTGAGCCTGAAGAGAATGAAAGGGTGGGGGAAACACAACAGACGGGAGGCCGGCCGGCGGGCTGATGAGCCGAGAGGGGAGGTGTGAAAAGACGAGAGAGAAAGAAAGAGAGAGACGATGAAGAGCATCGCGACCGGACGCAGAGTTCTCACAACCTTCTTGATCAATCATCTAATTCAATTCAAAATGCAGAATCTTTCAAAATGCAACAAGCTATGAAAAAAGGATGGTGGATGAGTGGGCGATGATCATGCAGGCTGAGTCGGGTTTGGAGACGTCGGCAGGTCGGGGGTCTCATGGTCTGCGGTTGAAGATCGACGGGGGGGATTATGTACAAAGTGAAACGCGAGGCTCCAGACCTCCCCGACTGGCTGAGCTCCTCCACTGTCTCCTCTTTCCTCCACTTCTTCCTCTCTTATCTCCTTCCCATTTCCGTCTGCTGGTGTCTCCGTCACCTCCACCACCAGCTTTTTAAGTTAAGCTTCATCATCTGAGTACAGCGATAATGTGCAATATTTTAATTACCAGCTTACAATACTTTCTTCCTTCTTCGCTGCATATTCTGTCCTACATTCTGTATTCTATTTCTCAGCTAAGAGAGAATTACATTTAGCATTTTTTAAATGAAACAAACAAATAGCTGAGCTACATAACGTGTCTGTCCTATATTCTGGTCCTCATGTCTCCATTCGGTCCCTTCCCTCCGGTTTACCTTCCCAGTTAGAATGCTCTCCACGTCTCAGTTGTCTGAAGGCCTTAAATCCTCCTTAAATCCGTGCGCCCTCCTTCCCTCTGCATGTCTGATGAGTGTAATCGCACCGAACCGCGGCGCTCACCTGGATTCACCCGATTACTGTGTTTGTAAGAGGAAGAGCGGGCAATCGTAGTGTCTCCCTCCCCGCAGGGATTACGGCATGTTATCCTGACACGGTCAGAGGAATTGCATCGTTTTGGTGGGAAGAGGTAAACAGCTCGTGAATGCTCAGTTTGGGTAAAGGTCGATGAATTTGAGGGTTTATCCGAGCATCAACGTGGAGCCGTTTACAATACGGATAATAATCGTTTTTGTTTTTCGTGCCAGAATCCGCGGTGAGGAGCGAGTCCTCGGGTGTGAGGAGGAGACTTCTTGGTGGATTGGTGCCCCGCCTCCCGTCCACCATCGTGTCCTTGTGTCGCACTCAGCAGCACTTTGTGAGCTTCATTGGAACGTCATCACTGCGAGTTCCACGCTGTTGTGCTGCCTCTCTGGGGTTTTGCAGAGATTTCATGGCGTCATTTGTAATCTGATGGCCTCTAAATGGTCTTCGAGCAGAGAGTCACCACCGCCACCACGTCGTCTCCATCCTCCACTTCTCCTTCCCCTCCACCCTCGGCTCCAGCTCTGCATGCCAAACTTCTATTTCACGCATTTCCTGTCTCCTGCCGAACCGTCTCTGTGTCTCTTCAGTCTGCACATCCCGGGATTGTGATGCCAGGGTCTGTGTGCGTGAGCAGCTGCTTGTTCAGAGGCTTTATGCTGAACGCAGCCGTGCAGCTTTGTCTCCTTTGTTAAATACACATCTGTCTCAGCTGGCGGGACCCGCCAAGAGAAGAAGGATTTGACTAATGGAGATCATTAGGAAGCAGAAAAGGTCTAGTGTCTCATATGACTTTCCTGTGTGGAGGTGTTTTTTTTTTTTTTTAAATGTCTCCCGTTCCGAAGAAAGAACACAATCAACACACACAATGTGTGTGTGTGTGTGTGTGTGTGTGTGTGTGTGTGTGTGTGTGTGTGTGTGTGAAGCTGTCCAATCCACTTTAGTGGTGTAATACACAAGTGTGTGTAGACAAGTGCCATCTAATATTCCCATTGCAATAATTCAGAAAGTCCATGGAATAATGAATAATATCAACTTTGTTTTACTGTCTCTTAAGGATTAATTATTCAGCGGAGACATGCTGATAATGCATCACTGTGCTCCAACTGCTGATATTCACTCAAACCGAAGAGCGACGTCGGCTCCATTAATCAACACCATGTTGAGGCTCACTGCAGTGTAAAACATTGTGATTAGAACACTAACTTCTATTTAAAACCTTCGTGAAGAAAAAAGAGGAATCCCTTTTTGCCCACCAGCGTTCCAGGACGCCCGTCCTACTCACTTCACCACTTTCTGGTCATCACCACCAGAGCCAAGACCAAGTCGTGGGCTGCGACCGGATCAAAGCAACCCGGTTCCAGTCCTGCACTGCCTGACACACTGATGATGAAATGTAGAACATGCAAACCCAAAGCGCTCCAAAAATAGATCCCAACCATCCAAAAAAACTAACAAGGTTCCTCCTCATTCACCTTAAACGTAATGCTGTGGAAAGCTGTTTCCATCTGACCTGCAGTGAATCCAACATTTCTGGCATATTTACACTTTCCTTGCTGGTTGGGTGAATCAGAGCTGATATCCAACGCCAAGTGGAAATATACAAAGAAGCACAGATGAGCGCTGATAGGCCACTGAACCCTGAAGCTGAAAAGAAGAGAATGAGCGTCCCACCTATCGGCGTATCAGCGCTCCCTCGGTCCGCCGCGGTGATAATGCTCGCTGAAACGACGCCAAAGCCGGCGTCTCACTCTGTCACACTGACCCAACTGGAGGAAATGGAAGGTGCAATGAGCTGTTATCTGGTCCTGGATAAGTGAAAGCATCCAGGGAGTCAGTGCTTTTCTCACTCATAGTCCATCAATGCAAAGCGCCCAGACGTTTGTTAGCCAACGAGCTAAAACGGATGTTTTTTGGGCTTTTGGCAGTTTCATTGACCTCCGATCTCAACAACAAAATTGAAAGATCTGTTTGGATGTTTAGGATTGATGGTGCATTATATTTTGTATGTTTATCTATAAGAGCTTGATGTGTGGCCATTAATACTTTAAGAGTAGACGTCCAACGCAGAACTGGTGCGCTGTGAAGAATTCGGTCGCTGGCTGTCGATATCTGTGTGAACCCCGACAGGCGGGGCTCCGTTTGGGGAGGGTTCGTCTGCCTTGGTGCGTTACAGGTGTCCCTCGTGCTGCTGTGGCGAGGACCATCACGCTCCCAGGAGCCCCTGCACCTGTCAGCGTGACGGACAGCCCAGCTGCTGATCGAGAGCGCTCCAAAGCCAGATTCTGAAGGCTGTGAAATATTTCAGTGAGTTTAAAATGAACCTCCGCGCTTCATTAAAGCTCGCAGGCAGGCAGGCAACCTGCGGTAACCGTCCATCTGCAGAGGAACTCGTTGTCTGTGCGGCGAGGATTTCTCTGAAGCCGCCATCATCCGTCATATCGCCACCAATCTGTTATTTTCCCGCCGTTAGCTGTTGTAATTTAGCTCTTTGGGCGGCGCTCGCTCTCTCTCAACGAGCTTCATCTGCATGTGTTTTGCAGAATCCCAGAGTGCGTTTCAGTGATTGCAGGAGACAGGTGTAAACATCCAATTTCCCCCTTGATGTTACAGAGTGACAGATTATTTCACTCAGAAGTACGAGGTTGAATAATGCAATGAATCGATTTAAAAAAATCTCTTGTGTGACTATCGACTGGATACAGAGCCATCGGTTCAGAGCCCTCAACATGGTGTCTTTGTCTTATATTGAACCAGGAGCCAGGACCTACAGCTACATAGCTTGGTCACAGAGTTGTTTCTGCAAATTCTGGCATTTGCGTCAGCTCGTTTTTAATGTTCTTCTTCGAGAAACTTCCAAGCCCAAACCACTCAATCACATCAGTTTCAGCCAATAGGGAAAAAGTCCATTTGTTTTTTTTACTGAAACAAATCAAACTTCACAAAATCAATGGCACATTACATTGGTGGCTCAAATAAAGACAAAAGACCCCAGATGCTCGTCACCTCTGCTACGGGACGCGAACAAACAGACGCTGCTTTGTTTCACCTTCAACCGCTTGCTTTACAAAGTCGATCAATCAAAGAGATAATGATGACATCATCTCTACAGCTCTCTCTCTCTGAGCGTTCAACTGCTCATGCACTTGCATAATTGTATCTGATACATAGATTTGTTCCACAAACGTTTAATAGACTAAATCCATTGGACAAACTGCCCCTTTGTGCAAATATTCTGCATCCCTCTTGCAGATGTTACACAGCTCAAGCGTTTGAAGTAGATGGGAACCGGAATCTCCGGAGCCGGCGGAGCAGCCGGTGCCCAGACGTCCCCTGTGACCCTGGCAGCCTGGAAGAGAGCGATACCTGCTTTCCTCCCCAAAGGGGATTGAGCCAAAGAGCAGCAGGAGTCAATCAAGCACACAGTTAAAAGTTGGACTTCTGCTCTTCTGCATGTTTCTTTCCCCCGTATTATAAAAGTCCCCCAGTGTGAGAGGGTCTAGCACCAATGTTGACCGTACCGTCCACTGTAACGGTCCCCCGGTGTTTACAAGAGACTGGGTGACCTATTGGCCATTTCATCATCCTTCCTGTGGATGTGCACCCCATCTTTATGCTAAAAGTCTTTACTAGAGCACAGAGCTGCTCAGAGATCTCGTCTCTTGAATATTGCTCTCAAAGTTCCCCATTGATTTATTGTACTACCTGATTTAGCTTCCCCCAGTGTCGTATCCCTACAGGACGTGAATGTTTTCTGGCAGTGCTCAATGTGACCCTGCAAAGTGCTGCTGAGTTGCAGAATCAATAAGCTGTCAGTATCAAGGTCTCTCATTATAAAATACCTTGACATGTAAAGACAAATGAAGAAAATTCATTTGATCGACCCCATCAGCATCAATCTCTATTGAATCCGCACCTGAGCCGTGGTACAAGAATCCATGCTTCCATCAGTCAAACATCGCCATGGCAACAGGACAGCGGCTTCCAGGCCGCAATGACTCAGCTCTCTGGATCTTCTCTCAACGTGACGGCGCCGCCAAAGCAGTTTGCTACTATTTGTGTTTCGCTCACTCTGCCGTGTGTCAGGAGCCGCAGATATTCAAAGTCACCCCCCCCCCGCCATCACCTCACCTGATTCTGTCTGGCACTCGGTGGGTGTTGTTGCCGTCGCTCTGGCAGTTGCCGGCGTATTGCGCGCGGCTGTTGGGGCCCTGGTCCCTCCGCAGAGCCATCGCCCCGTGGGTGAGCACGGAGACGCCTTTGGCGATGCGCCTGCAGGATTAGGGATTAGGGACACGGATTAACTGCGTGAGACGGAGACACAGGGACATTTTCAAAAGTCTCCTTCGAGTCTGCCGAGGCGCCGTGAAACGCACAGAGAGCGTTTGCCGTGCTCGAATGGGTGCACCCCCAGAAAACCATGAAAACAATCAGAAATGCTGAACGCGGAGGGGAATAAATGGGCTTCTCTCATCAATACCTTCAAGCTAAATGGTGCAGAATGTTAAAGAAACACTAATTTTAGCAACTTAAATTGTGTGAGACTTCGGCAAAATGAAAAGTAATTACATCTTCACTGACTGAGACGCTGTAGAATTGCCCAATTTCTACAAATTAGTTTCCTTTGTTGGGGGGGTGCACTCGCAGACAGGAAGTGATGAATCAAGACTAAAGAGCAAAATGAAATGTTCTCCCGGATCGGCATTAGCTCCATTTCCTTTCTTCTCTGCTTCCGTACTCTCAGGACATCCGGGTTTCTAACGGGACACGGCAGCGCTTTATTTAACACATCAGTGGGCCGTCCTGCTGGGAGGAACAATGTTAATGCGATTCAAAGGGAAAACACTGTAAAGCTGTGAAAGCGTCCTCGTTCGCCGGTATCAGTGTGAATGGATGTTTCTGTGAATGAGGAACTCACGGGAAAGCATGAATGAAGCAGCAGGAGCTGATGCTTCATCACCAATGAACTACAAGTTACAAAATGTATTTTTAAAGATTTCCTCATTCCAATGAATACGCAGGCTCCCTCGCCGTCTGTCTCGGGGTAATTAAATAATACATCAGAAGCTTTCACAGAGCAAGCGACAATATAACGCTCACCGCTTTTTAATGCGGCCTTAAAGTCCACTGTGATTTGTATCTCACATTAAAGCCACACAGGGAGTTTTTACGTCTTATGATACACAGGCCTTCATTATGTAATATGAGCGTTTAAGATCAGCCATAAGTTCTAGCTTCAGTCCCGCTCCAGCCGGCCGGGACTCCACATCTAATGACCCTAAACCCACAGAGCAGTTTGAGGCTTCCCTGATTCACCTCAAAACTTGTTACAAGCCGGGGGCGGGCGGACATGAAGTGTTGAAGGGAACCTGAGGGGTTTCCAACCTGCCAAATTTTGTCCTCTTCACAAGGAATGAGTGTCTTCAGGAGGAAAGTTTGACTGGCAGAGCAGAGGCAGCTTGAAATGTGACACGTTACCCACGTGTCCTAATAAAGTCCTGTCTTGTGTCTTACGACGTGTTAAACCTGCCTCCAAGGTGGAATCGCGACTCGAATGAGCCGTTAGCGGCGCAGCGGGCTGAGACTCGGCTCCCGCGCGGCGTCTCTTCAATGTCTTCAGTGGACCACGTCGTGCTTTAGTGTCTAGAGAGGCTCCATCAGCAGCGGCACTCATAGACACTGCAGCAGAGGGTCGACTTACTGCAGTGTACCGCTGAGAGGGGGGGGGGGGATGCTACGCTGTCACATTCAGTCGAGATGTTTAATTGCTGGGATTCGGAGGACACAGCTGGTGTGTCATCTGCACCCATCAGTATCCAACAAACCACCGTGCACTGGTCAATTGTTTAATGATGCGTTCAAGTGATTATAATCGACCTATTAAGAAGGGAAATGTCACATTATTTGTGATTCGATGACTCGTAAATATTGGAATCCAAATGTCATACGTATATGCAAACATCGCATTCTATACGTTGTTAAATTGTTGCCGTCCGGAGGAATCTTTTGGAGGAGCTCAGGGAGTCAAATACAACAGAGAATAATCCTGTTTGTAAATACAATTATTCATTGATCAAATCTGTTTCGCATATCCAGCTCCAAACGTCCATCACTGCAAAGCGAGCCCCCCCGAAGCCTCGTACCTGCGAGGCTCGTCCCTCCAGCCCTGCGGCCGGATGGCGAACAAGGCCTTGGGCAGCCCCTCCAGGCCCAGACCGGACAGCGCCGGTCCCACGGCGAACCACATGTGACTGGGCCCGGCCTGACCCGCCGCCAAGGCCGCCCGGAAAATCAGCTCGGCCTCCTCCAGCGAGCAGTACAGCAGACGGACCTGGAGAAGGGAGGCAGAGAGGGTGGGGGGGGGCAGAGACAAGGGGAAA